GTATGTACCTGTTTAGTTAAACTCATGTTTTTGTTTGTGAAAGAGTTTATCCAACTTCTTTCTATTTTATCTTCTATACGTGTTATAGCGAGTCAAAGTTCGTATATTGTCAGTTTAGGTTTTAATTACAAACTATTTATACTGAGTTGTGTTTAAATTTGATGAATATAAGTCTGTTTTCTATAAACTAAAGAGCATATTCTTTAATGTGACTATGTACTTCAATTCGAAGGTATATTGTACGAAACCGGAAGTCTCTGTCATGAATTATGGTACTCTTGCATGTATTTAAATGCATATGTAGTTATACATACAGCGTATATTGCTATATCTTTGTAATTGTGTATTTTTCATATACTTCTATATTTTTCATATAATGCTATACACACACACACACACACACACACACACACACACACACACACACACACACACACACACACATATATATATATATATATTCACATATCTGAGGTATATATAAATAGTGTAATATAAAATTATACTTTGCACAAGTATTTAATTTTCAATCAACGTTGAAATATTTCATTATTAATCGGGTTTGGTATAAACTGTGCGTCCACACGCGGGTACGGAATTAGGTTCACGCAAAGGTAAACATTCAGATTGATGGATTGATGTATGAGCGTGCTTAAGAATCGTGAACACAACTGATTTAAACGTGTATATGTACGTACAGTCTACCCTGAGTACACACTCATCTATCTAGATATTCGTCTAGGTTGACATATGCAGTCCCAAGGGCCTTTGTTGCGTATATGTGCAGTGTAAATGTATAGTGGTCGAACCTAAATGGATTATACAGTAGTCAGAAACAGCATTCATATATCTATAATTTCACTGGTTCGAAACCCAAGGGGATTGCGCTTAGTAAATGCATACTCGGAATACCCGCAGTACACGCCTTTGATAATTTTTTCTACAGAGGTGCTCGAAGCATTTTCATCAGTCTATGCTGAACCACTTTCAAAATGGAACATAAATGGCACATATGACTGTGATTCATAGATTCCGACCTTCAAAGCTTTTCGAGAGTGATCAAAGAGTTTTGAGTGTGATTTTGCATGGAATCCTAGCCATATCTCAGCGCGAGGCATGTACAGACCAAGTGCTTTTTTTTTGCGCTCACCGCTTTCTATAACTTCGTTGCAGACGGGCCCGACTTCGATCCTGATATGTACTTGAAGAAGATCCTATACGAGAGCACTGTCAGCCAACTAGCAGATACGGAGAATATGTTTGTCAATGGTATGTACGCGTTCTGTTATAATTTCACCATGGTATCCACGTATTTTAGCGTCACGTTGCGTCTAATGATGTGGACTCGGACTGATGTTGACTAACTTCACCTGCACTTCATGCAATTTTCTGTCTGATAATTTTTTTCACATTTATATTTATGAGAGGGAATGGGTTTGGGTTTAATACTTTTTTAAAGGTTGCACGAGTGCCCTCGGTAGAAAACAATCGTGGAGCGATAAGAGGTAATTAGTTCTCTCTAATCTTTTCTATTTTAGTATATCAAACATGGCTACAAAACGGCCAGAGGCGAGTCTACACTCGTATACTTCTATTGAGTGATTCGATTTCTCAATATAAACTCCAATTCGCTAAGCGTTAAAGCACTTAAACTTTCTTATCTTCCATTGCAACGATACTTCCTGAAGAGATACGATCTTTGGACAGTGATGTACAGACACTGGTGTACGAAAATTACAACAAGTTCATCAGCGCGACGGATACAATCAGACAGGTACGATGCACGTTCGAAGTCATTTATTATCCAGTCATAGATGGGACCAATTAGAGAATTTGTTTTGGGGATTGTGTGCATTCTATGGATTGCTACACATAGTTACGCATTAGCATAGTACTGAGCCGCTGCGCTCACGTGAATCGCTACGTTTTCAGTAGAAAGTAACATATACGTGATCAAGTAGTGCAGCCGCGGCCGATATACACGACTTTCGATGCACAAGGATGTCCAAGTGTAGTTAAAAAAATGCCATAGCCTATTTTTTGTTCATCTTGTTCATCCAATGGTACCAAAGTAAAACAGTATCATGAGAGTGTCGTACTTGTTTTTCTTATATACTCAATTTGTCTATCGCCAGAATTTTGGTTGAAGGTATGCAGCTTTTCTCCTTTTAAGTTTAAAATAGTTTTTCGCACCGGTATAATTATTTGAAATTTCTTAGACTAAAGGTATGAGCATTGCAGCTGTATTCCAAACAATGTCGACTTTCTACACATCTATTAAAATCTATATTATATTTCACGTCGACAGATGAAAGGCAAGTTTGAACTGATGGAGACCGAAATGATCAATGTGCAGGTGGGTCCCAAACTTTTGTATTGGCAAGCTAATGTACAAAATGCCAACCATCTGAAATGAATCGCACTCTTGTTGAGTTTGCTGTGTTGTGCATCGACTTTGTTCAGCTCGAATTCAAATTGCTTTGTTGTGCTTATGATACGATCTAGTCGTACATATAGCATACAACGGTGGAATATTTTAAGTCTTCCTCATCTAATTGAGTTGTAAAATCCGGAACTTGAAAAAACTCGGTATCTAGGATTTAACCGGATGCGATTGTTATATATTATACAACACTAGTTGAGGCTTTTCACCAATAGAACCTATTTAGTTGTTCTTAATTAAAGGGTGTTCTGCTATCACCCGAAGCAGGCTATAGTGTGGGAATTGCCTCCCAGCTCCAACAATTGTATAATTTCTGTTCGTTGAGCATTAAGATCAGCAATCGACACACCTCAAACGATAGATTGGTGTACATGACCCTCCTCCGGCGTGTTGCGGTAGCCACAGAGACAACAATCGCAGCTGGCCTATAATGTCGCCTATCAGCGGTGATTGACGAGCCTTAGACAAACACAAATTTAGAACTCAGGGATATCTGTGCATCGAAATACTATACAGTTGCCCAGCATTCACCATCCATGTACATTGGTTTACCTTCATCTACACTATTGGCATCATTATCCATCGTAGTGAAACACTGTACCTCATCAATAATAAGTTTGGCTACAGGGGAGTGAGTCATCACTCTGATATTCATGTACACACATACTTCTTAAGTGTATACGTCCGCTGTTAATCTGAGGAAGTTCTTTAATATTCGGTTTGAGGACGACTAAGTTATCGATTCATTGCATGAAACACACACGCACTACAATGAACTGAGTGTCTAAAATCGTGGAAGTGTGAATGACACATCAAACGAGCAGCATGACCGATACAGAAGGTGAAGAATAATATTGCAAATCTGCTCGCCTGCCTGTCCCATCAGTTGTGGTAGATGATGAACTACAGCCACTCAAGAATGAATGAGTTGCTATATCAGATTACTGTTGCGTCAACTCAGTCAGATTTGTAGTTCCCAATTTGATTAGTAGTCACGAATAAGACTGCTGCCTCACGTTTGTTTTTATTATTATCCAAACTAACCAAAACTGGGTTGCAACGTGATAGAGCCGGGGACTACCTATGTCTCTAGAATTCTAGAATTCTATATTTCTATATGTAATTATCGGCTTGGGCCGTAGTTTAAGCCATTAATTGCTACACCTTGTGAGAAGCATCTGTTTTGATTACTGATCCCCATTTACTATTCGCTGATGATGAGCACATTTTTTGCTATGTTTTACCTGCTGTCCACCACGCCCACTCTCTACTTCTGCGGACTGTATTATATTTCTACCATATATGCCACTTGTGTCGATAGTTAAAATGTTGAGATCTTGGATAATTGTTCAATTGGCAGCCGTCCATTAATCGTAGACATGAAGTATAACTGTATTGTGTGATTCTTGTCCGACATGTTGGCTTACGTAGAGGGCAGATAGTAATCTTAATCTTCAAAAATTGAGTGTACTCTATGTACATATACATTGTGAACAATCGCTCCAGCAATCATTCAATCAACGAGAGAGCCTTTGCTGTGCATAAATTTACAAGCTAATCTACCCTGAACTCATTCATGATTGTATTGTAGGAGAACATGGACTCCATCATGGATCTCAGGGAAACTATACACTCAACACTCGACACAAACCGACGATCGCTCTCACAACTCAGTGGCGTACATCTACTGTTAAAAAAACTCCAATTTTTATTTGAGCTGCCTTCGAGATTGAAGCGATGCGTGGAGATCAAAGCGTATAGGCAAGCCGTCAGGTAGGGGCGTACTTGAACTGCTGTGTTGGTGCATACACATATTTATGCTATTCAAGTGTAGCGTGTAGTCCTCTTGTGTGTTATACAGACTTGCTGGCAAATATTCGTACGCATTGTTGAGTATTGCATCTTAAGTGATTGTAGAAGATATTGTCATTTGTATAGCTGTATGTACCGTTAGAAGGATTTATTTTTCGTTTCATGTACTTGAAACACTTTTTAAACTACCCCAAAAAATTAAGGACAGGAAATAAAGGATTCCGCATAGCATGGTTGATACGTCGGTGTGGTGCCGCCGCCTTCTACCTTTGTAGTCTGCTAAACTTAGTGCAATGTGCGTTATTGTTATTGTCCGCTGGAAAGTTCACCAACATTCGTCAAGCATTTCTCCTTTCACGTTTGATTTTGCTACAGGTTCTAGATTACAGCTTCAAAGTTATGGACTACATTCATTTTATTTGTGACTTTCTTATATTCACCAGCTGTGCGGTATTCTGGATGATTGTATTCTAGAGAGGTAGTCTTATGTATTTAATTAGAGCTTTTGTCGCATAGCGTACCATAAAAGTATATTAGGGAATTGAATACTGAACCTTTCACTTTTGTCCACGCAATACATGCAGGTACTATTCCAAATCTCATGCCATCCTGGGCCGCTACGAACACTTGCCCTCATTCCAGGGTATCCGGTCGGAGTGCAACCTATCTATTACAAATTTAATAGCGCTATTACAAGAGCGGCTTTTGGACCCTACGGTATGTGAGAACTTTAATATTCAACGAATATTACCGTTACAAATCCGTAGTATAGTTTGTATGTGCTTGGAGTTCAGTACTGTGCGCCTGTGTTCGATTTTGATTGTATTGCGCAGGAATACAATATAATCATTTCAAGATTGGTATAAAATCATCAGTATGCTGTACCGCCATTGTTGCTTAATCGAATAGTGCCTACTGTGACCACTTCTCCTGCTATACAAAAGGTCAACTCTACCTTCTTAACTCTATGATGCCATGCACTATTTCAGCTTGCTGTTGCGTTGATGAAGTCAAAGGCAACATAGCTTGATTTATTCATGCAAAAATTGTCGAAATGCTACACTGTGTTCGTTATTGGCATATGTACAGTCATTGATCTTTTCGAACACCAACACACCTACATACTTACATGATGTATAAATGTTTGACTTATGCACACCTGAGCGGACAGTTTCCGATTGCAAAGAGTATGATGGTTCTGTGTACAATTTACGAGCGGATTGTGCGAATATGAGTGTAGTTAATATCACTTGAGTTCCACATCGGGCTATAAATGTCATCCCTCTCAATACCGTTGCTAATTGCCCCAAGACTAGAGCTACTTGTGTACACAGGTACTATCCTAGCTCTGCTTGTTTCGTTATAATTGTCTTCACTCACTATTGTAACATCATACTCAATGCATTGTACTTTTTCTGGCTGTTAATTACAGTTAATATCATATGCTGAGCTGTCAGAATCTTTCGAGCTGCTGGTCGTGCTAGAAGAAGGAACAATTGATGAGCTCTCAACAAGGTTCGGCAAATTCATCAAGTTCCGCATATTTTGCCACAATGAAGAGATTTCGCTATGTTAAAACTAACACGCACCTGGCTAGAGTGAAGCAACGATTATTGAAAATGTTATATATTTTGATATCGATATTTGGATGACACTTGTGTGATATAACTACATAACTTTGTAATTGAATCGTGGATTGAGAGCTCAGATCTGTCTACTTTTGATCACATCCGAACAAAATCTCTGAGTGCTTTTTGGCTAATATACGTTGTAGTGTCACAACTTACTATGACAGGCGTATACACTCTGCACTTCACACCGCACACAGGGCTACATCCAGTCGGACACCATGTATTATTTAGGGAACTTGACTAAGAAAACGACAGATAAGCGTATCGCACAACTCAATTCACGTTTTATACTTCACGAATACTTTTCATAGTTTTGCACTTCCTCATCGGCCACTTTGTCACATACGTACACAGGTTTGTAATTGCACACCGGCATTAGTATTTATGCGCTTTCCGGCTCATCTGTATATAAATATAAATACAGCTTCTGAAATTTCCACTCTCGAATGCATATTGGTGCGATGTTCAAGATTATTTTGAAGAGCACTTAGTCATCAAACTGACTAAGGGAATATTGTTTGCTATCCAATGATCAGAGTATATGAGATATCTAGTACACTCGTTCTATCTAGTATCTGTGCTTCGTTGACTAACATACCTGTCAGTTCTGGTTTCGAACGCAATATATGCAAATTTTTAATATGCAAACATTGTATAAAATGTAACAACTAATTAACCGCGTACATCGTTTTCAGTTTCCTAAAGCGTACCGATGAATGGTTAGCAGTCTATGTGAAGACTATGGAGACTAAGCTGGAGAACCTAAGTTCAGAAGACGCAGCGGTACGTCACACGGAACTTTGAATATTCCAATTCATGCATTGATCTTCATTGTATCGTCATTCGGTTCGAAATTCTTGTTCCCTAAGAAAATGACACACGTTTGCTTCTCTAATCTGGAGACGACATCCCATGAGCTTTATCCTTCTCATGTACAGCGTTTTAAATCAATCTTAGCTTCATGCATGTTGAAGGAAAGTATTCAGTGTTATTCTCATGATCAATCGTGAAACTTCTGTGTTGTACAGAAGCCGGAAGAGTTCCTCGATTTCTGCAACACTCGCTACCTGCACGCTGTTAAGGAATTTATTCGAGGTATGTTAAGAAACTATTTTGTAGACTCTTGTCAGGCGGCTCGGGTTTTGCTTGTAACTTTCGCAAAATCCCATCTACTTAAATAGATAATATACATGTATTAATATTCAGGATCATGTACGAATGTAATTTACTACCTCGTATTTCAGGAATTTTTCTCTGCGTGTGCCACAGTGGATCTGATCGAATACAAAATCCAGAAACGGATGAAATCGACCAACACACGACTGATTTTGGAACCATTATATACCACCTTTGCACTTCATCATTGCAGAATACGTCAAAATATTTCTCAGACCAGTCGACACGAATATATATAGTGGCAATGCAAAATCTACAAATATGGAACGGCAGAGTTCTGTAGGCGCTGTGACGACACTAACAGCCGATGGTGAAGTGGCGAATGTTGTTTCTCAGAAAGATCTGCGACTTAAACTATTCAATGGGGTACAGAAGCACATGTCAACCTACATGGAACTGGTCCGCAGAATGTTGACGAGTGAGGTAGGTAAACTGTAGAATTGCGTTATCAGATATTATTTTTAGTAGTAAAACTACCTGTTTGCAAATTAACGTCAATATATACGCATACTGAATTAGTATATCTTCACATGTATTCATAGAATAGAAGCATCAAAATGTGGAAATATATGCAATTTCTATCTAAAAATATGCACATATATTGGTTTATATTCACGCTCGTTTTCGCTTTTACGCAAACAACTAAATATTCGATACTTTGAGCTAGTTTCGAGTAGGCATACTCTCATATTATATATATATATATACATATATATATATATCTATATATATATGTGTGTGTGTGTGCCTATACACACACACACACACACACACACACACACACACACGTATATATATATATATATATATATATATATATATCTGTTCTTTCCTGTGAATACTTATATATATATATAGTCTATGCATTATTGTATCCTATATGCGCATTAAACATGCGTAACGTAGCCCTAGATATTGAAATTTGTATGAACACTATGTGGGTACGTACTCGCATTTATCCTTGCATAAACCTGAACCATCTACAATATACTAAACGCATATTTGTTCACACATCTACATATACTGTAGCTTTCCACTTGAAACAAGGCATATTATGTTACTTATAAGTGGGTATACGTATACATGTTTGCGTACTGGTATATACCATCGTCATCCCACACGAGGTGGTCGCATAAAGCAAGCATGGCTTTTTTGTTTGGATCATGCAGAATTACACCGACAGGATCGCGATGTACTCGTGTATATAGATGAAATTGATCTGCGATACTTACACGAAGTTGTAGAACACTCAACACGTGTCTCTTGTGCACGAACCTACAACTATATTTGTTTGTATATCCGCTCGTTTTGGTTACATACGTTATTCGCTCCGCGTATGTTTGGGTCGTTTTTATAATTTGTGAAAAGCAGCTTGTGAGCAATTTTATATCACTGCGTATATTTTAAAATTGTCATTGTTGAATACCTTCAACATTCAATTTTTTTTCTTCTGATCATGTGGCGATACTGTTTACAGACTCAGATGACCGACGCAGTGTATGTAGTGTGCGTATATCGCTTGCACGTGCACTCGTCTGAGGTGGATGCCATATACCCGGAAGCGGGTGTGCATCGCATATCCGAGAAGTACACTCGAATTGTCCTCGAGAACCGTATGCACAACTTCAGGTCTGAATTCATGCGAGCATTGGACAAGCACCTGATGCGGCTCAGCAAGCGCGTGTCGTCAGAGCACATGGCAGGGGAAGACGAAGATGAGGATGGAGCAGCATTTGCGTTAGGTCAAGGAGACGCAGATATCAAGAAAGTCATGCAAGATGCCACCACGACGTTACTGAAGGAGTGTGTGATGAGACTGGTCGAGAGAACATCGGTATGTGTGATATATGTTGTATTGCAATCATTTACAGCACGCAAAACATGCATGTCAACTACGAACCCCGATTATGCTATTATCTCATGTGTGGTATCGTTTACTAGTTGTAGATGATAGAGTAGTGATGATAGAGTCGTTGCAAGAACGAAGAAGCACCGCGCTTAATGTATACGAGATATAGGATGTGCAGTTCGATACTGGTGGTTCTGATTGTGGTGTTATATAGTTCTTTCACTCTTGTCAGTATACGTCGTCGCAATGCCACCTGCGTGGCACCCGGTAATCGGCCCTGATATATATGTGAATGTGAACACCCGCCCATACCTTCGTATATGTATGTATTTGTTTCCTTGTTGTAGCAATATATATATATGTTATTGTTAAAATGATATAACTGTTGCATATTTATATACCTGCAACTCCCGACTCCGAGAAGAGCGCGAATACTCATGAATCACACTAGTATGGTAACTTTCGAGGAGAGAAAAGGTGATACGTAGCCAGCTTCTGATAGTTATGGGTTATCTGGAATGATCGTATGTTTTGCGCTGCGATATTACAGATTGACAGTACGTAGCCTCATTTTTTGCACAAATTACGGTACATACTCTAAAATTTAGGGTTCCACGAATAGCTGGGGAAATATTACACTTTTAGCGTGTAGATAAAAGACTTGAGATGATTTTTTTGAGAGCCTGACTCGGTTTATATACTATTTTATTTCAATATATCAACGGGACTACTTTCTGGTCTGGATATTATGAAGTGATGAGAGTAGGTCAACTAGATGGATGTGGAAGTAATTTAGCTGCCTTCAATTAGCAACAATCCTTAATTGTAGTTGTGCACTCACTTAACTGCTCATTCACCCACTTCGAAGGGGCTTATTACTATGACCAAACGTACTTGCTCGCGGATTGCATTGCCAAATATGCAATTTTTAAAACGCTGTAGATTATTTGTGCATCAGGGTACCGTCATCACTTGGACTTAAATAATGCTCTAGTGTGCACTTCTTGCAATTACGTTGTGATTATTAGCATCCCTTGTAATATCATCGATTTGCGTCCTTCCGCACACTTGCAGGCCTTCATTAGCGACTCCGTCAATCTTGGCTCTCGAAAATCGTGGCGCAACACTTTCGTTCAGAAGTACGTATACATCGGCGTTCTAGTGGCCTTGATACACCACATACCGCTCTATTTTATGGTATGTGAATACACACTGTTGTACGTTAATATGCAGTCTTTGACTATACACGTGAGACCGCACATATCTCCCCTACGATTAACAATGTGCAGCTGCCAGTATTATAGCGCACACTGCTACAGACTGAATTCACTGCTTTTATATGTACGAGTAGACATCAAGCGGAAGTGTGTATGTTATTTTGTGTTGTTTGATCGTCTGATGTTCGTGTTTGCCTTGTCAATGTTTGAATGCTGTATCACTGAAAACTTATTTCATCCTGTTTAGTTTGATTCTATCGTGTATGTCTCGAGCGAACAGCTTCAGGAAAAGTCATACATCACTTTCAAGTTTCATAAAGTAGTGATCGCAAGATAAAGTTTAGAGTGTTTTACTCACTGCAGAATATATTTACTGTTGCACACAACTTCTGACACAGCCCACTGAACATTGTTTTCAAGGCTACACACAAAAGAGCTTAAAACCCCCAATTGACTTTTCAAGACTACACATTAAAGAGCGTTAAAATACCCAATCAACTCAGTGCGTAGACTTAGGGGGAGGTCTACGATCATCAATTATGAACTACAGTGATGGAGCGCTATACACTTGGGGAATAGCTGTAGTCAAATATGCAGGGGACTTCTTACGATTTCTTGCAATTCGCTGGAAAAAATATATAAAAGCGCACTTCCGCTGAAGGAAGAGTGCATTCCGTGCAAACAAGTGGTCTCAACGATAAGGAGTCTCTGGATGCTGAGTTTAATGAGATGCTCTACATCAACCATATGCAAGAGAGCTCAAAAGTATACAAGGAGCACTTCTGTACATTGCAAATTTATTGTAAATTTTCATGGGCTACTATCTTGTCTCGATATAAAATGCTACAGAAACTGTGCGGAACCGAACTGCCCGAGACGGTTATACCCCAACCCGCAACCTCCAAAATGGAGCAAGTCGATGATGGTATCGACGACGTACCTACCTGTGAAACGTTATTTGGCGAGAGTGAAATTTTAGCACAGTGGCAGAGTGAACCGAGATCACCTGAAACCGCACTGATGCTGTCTAAGTTGTGTAAAAATATGTCCACAACCCACATTCAAAATATGATAGCCGATTTCTTGGCGGCTATGGGCAGTGTGAAGGTATCGCGTCTTTTGATGTGCAAATGAGTGATGGTCCTTCAATTAATTTCCAAAATGATAACAAATGATGTATTAACTATAATGGAATGCTGTTTTCATTTGGTCTCGTTATTCATGTCTCAGATCAAAGAAAACACAGAGGAGTGCGCTGCTTTGGTCGCGGGGGCGCATGCAGCAGCAGAGGTATGTACCGAAAACTGGCATGAATGTGGACTTGTACATCCATCCCAAAACCAATTAACAATATTTTAGGAAGCCCTGACGGTGTGCGTCAGAATATTCGCACCTATGAATATACATGCACATGATTTTATATGTACAAATCGAAATTGATTTTGTTCTGACATGCTCGTGCAGTACCTGTTTGTGTATCATATCATACATATCTACTCCAAATCAATTCTTATAAGTATTCTTGATTGCAAAAGCACAGATTTCGATTGTTGTTGGGAATAACGGTTTTGCGAGATGCACGTTGTCACGCATATACTGATACATTTCGATATACCTCTGTGCATATTGTCCGTATTCGTTCAAATCCGTATGTAGCAGTGGTATGTACAGACCTCTTCTATGGCAATATCTTGTGGTTAAATAAATACCGCTCTTTGCACGTGTTTGTATAGATACGGTTGAATATACATTCATATATTTTAAATTATCACACGGGGTATCATACCTGCGAGTGAATTAATGTGAATAAACGTATTTGCATATATCTAACATGAAAGTATGTTTCACGGGGTATCGTACCTGCGAGTGAATCAATGTGAATAAACGTATTTGCAGATATCTAACATAAAAGTATGTTTATGCATATTTCCAGTATCGCTAATTTCAAAACTATTGGAGTGGATAGTCCGGTTACATACGCACAAACATCGATAGTTTGCACTTGATGAAGGCTCAGTACTGATTGTGTGGTTACTTTTACTATGCTTCAGGCACTTTTAAAGCGACATGTTCATCTTCAAGGTGTGGTGCTATCCGAGATGGTGCTCAAGAGTGTGTCTACGAGAGATTGGTGAGTATATGAAACGTGACAAATCGCCGTCGTAATAAGGATGGTACCTCGTATATATGGCTATATACGGAGCTTTTAGGTCAATACATATATACGACGCAGGGTATCGAGTTATATAAGTCAATGTGAACGACTTATCGATGTCATTTTGTGTCGAAACCTAGAATATATTCAAAGAGGGGTATGAAGTACTGTAAACCGTTTGTAGCAAGACATCGACATGACTGTGCGTACACGGTGACATGGTTCTCAGTTTGTCGATTAAGTGTCGAGATATGAGCACGGGTGGTTCAATTATTGAGTCTCCGAAACAAATAAATGACACCATCAGACGTTGGACATGTGATTTACAAATGTGCATTTGATTATAATTAATTTGTTATTCCCTATGAAGAGCAGACGAGAAGTTGTTATGTATTTCATTTAGAAGGCTATGCCATATTCTGTGGATCGGGATATATTGCTGTATTGTTTGCATCATAGTATAGATAGTGATGGATGAACTTCTATTGTTGATATATAGTCGAATTGATGTATGTCATTCATATCGCAACTCTTGCCACACGCACGTCTTTCTACTGCAGGCTCAGGGGGTCTGAACCGCGAATGGTGCGAGCTGCTATCAAACGCTGTGTAGACGAATTTGCAGAAATGGAATTGATTGTGTCGCATTACTACGAGTATGAGATAGAAGATGCGAAAACGGATATGCGACTACAAGGTATGTGATGCATCATTATCATCATGGACTATTCAATTCATCTGTGCTAGAGCACTCCAGAAGTTCTCTCATCGATTCAGTTGCGTAGGTTCATATCTGATGATGTCTTGAAGTCGAGTCATTGGGAAATCGGTAGTTGCTGCTTCTGATTGGATCGATATTCATTCCTCTTCATCGGAACAATAATGAGTATGACATGCACTCTCACAGACGTCGCGGCACGAAGGCAAAGTGTCCAACGATCAGGACGCTTGGGTGCAGGTGTCGATATCAACTTGATGGCCAATATACAAAGGTATAAGGTGTGGCTGTCGGTTGAGTTCAGATGAATGCGATTGGGCAGAATTACACAATAATATCACTATTCGATATCTATACCGGACACGTCTTTGTCTTATCGTATGGAAGAAGTTGACACCACAAGTTATGTTCGTCTGACGATGAATAATTGTCAATTAGGCATCTTACTGTGCGATCAAATTAGTACTTTTTTTTCCCTTCCTTTATCGCCTTACAGAAAATCAGTGTCTACTGTGTTCTAGGCTGATTTTAATATACTTTTGAAGCGATCCGATTTTTCTGTTAAGATCCCCTCCACTGGCTTTGGCTTCGAGACTCACGACTAACCCAATCTCACACGCAAAATATCTATGCTCGTATCAGATTGTTTGCTGAACGCATTGTGATCTTTGGGGAGGTTGATTTTTCTACACCGTCCATCATGACAGGGATATTGAAGATTGTGCTAAAGGTGAGCGTATGGCAAGTTGTAATGTCGAGACACGTGACTGTTTATGTATTTGGACACGCCACAAGGGAGAATGCTGTTCAAGGTCTCTCTTCATATTGTTCAGCATGCGTTTATATACAAAGCGACACGTATCTAACGTGCTATACTATTCTAAGTAGTGTTATTGCTGGAGTTTTCACAGTAATATGCTATTTTGTATCGCCCGGGATCTCGATATTTCTGCCCTCTGGGTGCAGTTCTTGATGGTACACTATTTTGGTCGGCTCTCGTATTCTACTCCCGATCACACGGAGCCAAACGATCTACAAGTTTTTGCTAAATTGTACCTGTGCTGGTAGAATTGTCTAACTTGTCGATGCACCGGGAATATGACATGCATGATTGTCATCATTAAGAGCTTTCTGCAGCTTTCTGTTTATGTTTGATGATATCTTATTTAAAAATTTGCATCACTTTTGTTGTTGTTGCAACTGGTATATCTCATCGAGTACTCGTATTTATCCCACTATTTCTAAACTCTTAATCGCTAAATGATAGTACTGTCTTCTTCGTATCATTATAGCATTTCTAGAAACCGTTGATGAATGTATAACAAATTTGATTGATTGTAAGCGGGTGTTCATTGGAAATACAGGTTTGCTATCATTTAGTTATACTGGTTTACTAGACTTTACGATGGTACTAGTTGTTGACATAATCGGTGTCAGGGTCGACACAGACTCAGCGAGTCTGAGAGAATCCAGAAATGACTTGTGCGTTTTGTAACTACATAGCCATACACAGCAAACTGTGCACAATACCCAAGTACTCAACTTTATTGCCATTGTTTCCTGTGATGTAGGCTTTCCAGGAGGGCGTACGAGTGCAGACATTCGGACAGTTTGGGTATAATCAACTCGAAGTAGACTTATTGTATCTGAAAGGCAATCTGTGGCGGTCCTACATCGATGACGAGTAAGTCATGGCAGCTGCTTGTTTTTGGATTATGTTGCGTAGCTCGAACTGCGTACTCGTAATTCTCAAAGAATATTATAGTGCTTTTCGATAGCATCGTCCATGCATCCTGACAGACTATCAAAATCAATACGAGTCAATCCCTGTACGTATTAATGCTAAAATTCCCTTCATTGAACGCTCACTTATTTTGCAGCATGGCTGAACATATGTACTCAGAAATATTAGTGAGTGCAGAAAGACGCTGCTTGAACCCGGTGCCCATGAATCGTCAGGTGTGTTGAGCACGGTTCGTCTGTTTCGTACTAAAAATAGGGAAGGAATGGCGTCGCGGACAAAAATGGGACGGATGGAAAGGTCTCTTGTAGACACTTCCAGCCATAACACCCTATTTTCTGCTCAAGTTGTTCATAAATACGAATGTTTGTTCGGTCATCTAGTATACCGTGAAAGGATGACCTCTTTGATTTGAGATCAATTTACTTATGTGTGCATCACTATGATTTGCAGGTAGCGGCCACGATCGTGGACGGATGATATTGGCTAATACGTAAATAAGCAGAGAATGGTTGCAACGAAAATACCTAATAAACGCTTTCGCGTTTCCAACTACTTTCAGCACAGCTACACAAGTTGTGCCATGCTGTTGCTTCACCAACGCATTACCCATGCCGGCTGTGGTGTTGTATTTTCCCCCCAAAATTCATGACTCGCTGATAATTCAAATACTTGCCCGGTGATTCGTATTCATGTGCTTGCAATATGAATTATATATACTGTGGATTGGACGTGTGGCAGCTATGGTAGTTGACCTGCTTCGAATAAGGAACGAATACAAATCATCGGACAAGTATTTGAATACCTGGGTAGAACTGTGTGTGGCATCAAGCGGTGTCGCTCTCGCCTTTGCATGTCTTATTTAGTATATGTGATACTGTTACATGTCAGCACCCTGGAAATTTTAGCCGTCATAGTTGCTGGTTTTCAAATTCATTTTAATCCATTAAGTTTGCGATATTTGATTATGTTTAAATTGTGATTACATCGTCTGCAATCAACATGATTCTCTGAGGGGATAAGGTCGTTTTTGAATTCCTCACAATCCGCAAAGATATTTTTTTATACTCCTTTGTGACAAATTATTGTCGTTATGTGTATCTTCTGTGTTTTAGGGTGGTCGATTAATGTATGTCCAGAATCCATCTAGAAGATAGTCTTGTACCCAGCCAACAGCATGCGCATACTTTATACACGCTACTCCAGCCTGGAATGTGTAAGCACACATTAATAAGAATACATGAAAACGAAGGGTCGTAAATAAAACGATATGTCGTGATATTATATTTTTGAGGCGCGCGAGACAAAAAATACAGTATATTACCACTATAGGTTGTGGCGATCATGTGTTGATATGGTTAATTTCAATATAGTAGGGGTTTCAAGTAGTTTGAACGCAGGATCCATGGAATCATAAGGGCTGTTCCGTGCCTATGCTGATGTAATCACTGTAAAACGAGATTCTTAGCGCCGAGAACACTCCTCACAAAACATACCCGTCCCTGAGTCACATAGTTCTTTTCAATTGGTTCATCTGTGAATGTTTCCTGGCCGTCGGTATTGTTCAGATCGCCATGCAGCAGAGATATTGGGTACATGGTATCGGTATATTTCTTAACGTCCGCCGGTCCATTCACCTAAAGCATGGTGGGTGGGGCAATTAAAATCGAGCTATCAGAAACACTTGTTGCTCACGATGGCTGAAGGGAACGTGTCAGAGATGAATGATCAGCGCATATTTACAAATTAAACCATGTGCATCATATGAAGGGCTCTGAGATATTGTTTTAGTATTTGCAAGCACCTTTAATGTACATCCCATCTTGCTCGACGATGACCAATACATTCATCCTTTAAATTTCGTTAGAACGTGTGTCCAATTTCAAAAATTTCGTTTGGCACTTTAGAACAGCCATCATCAAATGCGCCATCGAAATCTACTCACCTCAAATCCCGCTCGTAGCGTATACTTCTTGAGTGGGAATACAGTGCTGTAATCATGACGATGCGCACATTCCCGCTTCGTTTTGTAAAATCTGGAAATAAGGGGCTTATAAGGTGTCAGTTTTGAGAATGGTAATATGTAAACCAGACACGAAAGTACACAGCTGAAATTTCTTCATCGAGGCAGTAATAAATAGATAAATGTGAGAACGTCTGTTGCCATGTGGTATATACTAAGTTTGCACCCTCGCGTATGACTATTAAAAATTTCGATAAAGTAGGTCTGGTAGCTTGGATGAGAAACCCAAAGACCATCATTTGACATCAGAAAGTTACATCGCAATATGCCGCGGCATATTAAAAGGGCCGCTCGCTTTTGATGAGGCCAATGAGATTTGTGAATGATTTTGTGACCGAGCGATCAGATGCACATACCTCTTGGTACATTTTTGTTGTATGTAGGCATCTTTTCGCCCATGCTTTTTAACAGTATTGATTGTAAAAATGTGGATGTCTGCATGGACGTCGTATACCACACGTCCATTCACAAATGGATTTAATCGATAGCGTACAAACCACCCTTTCTTGAGCTCCTTCTCTTGTGGTTGTCCTCTGTGATAGTGCCCGTTTGCAATACAAAAATATTTGAGAAATTATATTAGCAACCAGATTCGATGTCAATGAACTGTACTGGCAGAAAAGAGTATGTGTATGTGCCGCTTCACATCTGTGCAATATTGTAGTGTATGTTTTGGACTGTAGTTTCGAATCCATCGAAGGCTGTTCTTACTATCAAGTCATGACCTGTACATACTTGCTATTATACAGCTTATCGAGTATGCTGAAATCACCGCTTTCCACGAGCAGTCGCCCACACCTGTTAATGTGATGTAACAAGATCATTGTGGCAGGTTCAATGGTACCAATTTACAATCATCATTTCTAAATTGAATACTGCCGTCAAGAACCCGAAACGGAATGAGCTCTCACAACTGTTCCAAAACACTCAGGTGTCGCCAAAGACAGAATTCTGAACTTCGACATTAATATCGGAAAGTATAGCCGTATTCTTCTGAAAAAGGTGAGCTTGAGGATAAGCACGGCTACTAAGGAGCATGTGATTGTAAACATGCAACTCGCACTTATATTCAACCAACCTTCGCTCATCATCCTTTATAATAGCAATGTCGACATCGTGCTCCCAGGGTACGGTGCGCTTGCGGAGAGCCGTGATCGCACTTCCATGTGTGAGCCACCATCGACATTTTTTATCGGCTCCAAGAGCATCAGCAAGGCGCTTCTGCATCCACACCTATCGTTGATTTCATAAATAGTATTACACACACGGAGCACTAGTGCATGCTAAAGAGGCGGCGGGCCTTGAACTAGCCTGTCCAACGTTCAAAGTGCTCTATGGACACATATGCAGGCATGTATGCCCGTAAGATTATTAATTCTTCAAATTATTGTGATAAGCGGGATTCTGACTTACCATAAATAGGATAGTATAATATACTCCGATGATAAACACACTTACTCTGTTACCCTACGGAACATACAGCTTTGCGTATCTTGCGAATAGGTCAGTCTTGTGAGCAGGATTCTCCTACTACAGGTGCAGATCTATCATAACCTTCTCTTTTTGAAGGAAAATGGTTGTTGAAATGCGCATGTGAAAAGAATATCCAACAGCAAATACACGGCATGGAGACACATTTACAGATATAATTTAGATACCATCCATCTCAGTTCCCGAGGTCGGAGCTGACGCGTACATTCATTGTATGCGGTATGGACCATTTCTGTGGTCTTCTTCATATCCTGTGATTCTGTCAATTGCTGTAGTGTTTGCTGCGTTTCATTCTCATATGTAGCTGAACTATGTGCCTTCGCACTGTGTATGAAACCGTTGAGATCCTTGGACACATCCGCAATATTTAATGACTCGCCCTCAGCTATCTAAAACAGCATAGGATGTACAAACAAATTAGGGCACTGTAGTGTAAATCGTATCTTTAAAAACACAAGAATGCACCTTAAGGGAGCCCCATATAAAATTGCTACATCATGGCGAGCATGATTGTCCGACACACTCATGGTCAAGGAGAATCAAGGGTCTGGTCATGAAAGCTTTACTATTGCTAATATTCTGCTTCACGTCGCGTGCTTCACCTAGAGTTAATAGCACGATATGAATTGTAAGAATGTGCGGAGTGTGTATGTCATACAATTACATCAGTATATTAATGTTATCATCCAACTTTTATACTAGAAAGAAGGTTGCTACATACCAATTGTACCAGCTCTGTGAAATTAAAAGAATAAAGATGAGGCCAGATTCTATCTCTCTCTCTCACCGCTTTTTCCTGAATGTCGATCTCGTCACCCTGACCACTGTAATTAGCAAAGTGCGAGGCAATTCTCATTAGATGAATGCAATACGCTCTCGGGCATCAGCACGCCGAAGCTGACAAAATCACATGCTTATTTATCTGACATCTGACATACTCTGTAAAAGCGATACACGACGTGAAATTTAATCAGTATCTATCCGCGATAGCCATCAGGACCCGAAGCGTGTAAACTGCGATCATAACATGTCTACGGCGTCTACCAAGCTCTTCTATGCATAACCTTCCTCACACAATTTATGAAACATTTATATATATATATATATATATATATATATATATATATATATATATATATATATATACGTTATATATATAANATANACACAANACGTAGTACGTAACGGTAAA